TATAAGCCATGCCAATGCCACCCATGTGTCATTGAAAGATTGCCAAAAATGGGTATTTGTACATAATATTTTACACATTTGCACTATATCTTAGATAAAATATCACATATTTGCTATAATCTAGCCAAACCTGACCATTATAATGGCAAGTGGTCCATTACATGCTGCTTACAATGGGGGCACGTGACAACGGACCAAATAAATTTGCGACAAAATGCAACAAGCATGTATGACGCTGCATCTGTAACATTAACAAACAAAATAAAACAGGCGATTGCGCAACTTTTACAGCACTGCGCAACTTAAAGACAGTGACCCGCAACTTTTGCAGTCATTAATACTTTAAATATATATGGCCTGTGATTTTTTGGGTGGATGGCCACGACACTAGATGTACAACTGTAGGATCACATGTCTATATCATCGCCGAAGAAGGGTTCGTGGATCAAGTACTCTGCCAGTCCCCGAGCTGTGCGGTAAATGAGATCATCTTCGTGCTGAAATGCCTTCCCCTCCTTGACAAGAGCGAGCATCACTCTCCAACACTCGGGGTCGACACTCCCATAGCTAAGACCTTCAAATTGCTTGACCGCAGAGTTGTATGGCTGAGGACTACGACCATCAAGCAAGTACCGGCCCATGCCATTCCACCATACTTGGCGCCAGTCGTCAACACACCTCTTGTGGTCCTGGCAACACGGCGAATGCACCATAGGTGGTGGCTCACATGCCACAATACGGCGGTGGAGTTCGAGTCGCTCCTTGACTCTGAGGAGCGTCATCCATACAGGGACAGTAAGAAGCTCATAATCGGCGTGGTTGAGTTCGTTTATAGGCTTTGGGATGAGCCGTCTGAATGCGTAACAGAAGATGTCCTTGATATGATATTTTAGGGCAATGGAGATCAGTGTGATAGGTTTGATGGTATAGCGGCGAGAGGCGAGTTGCTTGATGGCGTGTTCACGGACGTCCTTGGACTCATACATGCGACTAAGCTCAAGGAGCTGAAGAAGGGTGGTCTCGGATGCCTGTGAAGTATCTGGGCGCCATCTGAAATAACAACATCAATATATAGCATATTTTCAATGGCAGCATACGGATCGACCTACTTGTTGTAGCACACGGACAGAAACAGTTCAAATCCTAGGTCGGAGACTTGATCAGGCACAATAATTGGTTTTTCGTCGCTGTGTCCATCAGTTTGGGGAAGTCCGGTACTGTCTTGTGCAGCAAACATAGACTTAAAGGCGATGGATTTGTCGGAGAGAACACTCTTATGGACTTTGAATAGTGAACTTTGAGCCTGGATGTATTGTAAACAGCCTGATAGATGTTACTACGATGCTAGGTAACTCACCTGGAAGATATGGGTTCCGTCTTCGTAGTAGAACATGTGATGTCGTCGCATGGGCATGGTTTGGGTTTGGTCATCCATCACTTTGCAGAGGGATTGGACTTGCGTCGACGAGCAGGACATGTGGCTGGCTCCGCTGACAGGAGTAAACAAACCACAACAATATTTGCGAAGAGGGCTAAGCCTCGAGATCAACGGTATATTGATGCTGGGGACAAGTGATTACAGGATGTAACTGCGTCGACATGAATGCTGATTAAACGAATGTGGGTGGTACCTCAAAATTCCATAGACATGAATGTGGATTACGGTTAGATGTAAGTGGATGACCATTCATACTCAATAGCATGTTACCTCCAAATCAAAAGTAGTCGGCCGCACCAAGGAAATAATCAGGTGACCACGGATTTACATACGGGTGTAAGAGGGGGGAGTTGACCAGTGATCCAAAGGGATCAAGATCCTGTAAAAATTTGGGGGGCAACGAGACATAGCGATTCACAGTGGCGAGAGGCGCCTGGCCAACGAATGTGGGTGGAGGTGGAGAAACCGAGAGACCCTTCAATTGAGTCGGGAGGTCAGCCACATCCAATAAGTCACTGTCGCCTGATGGGAGAAAAACTGTTGCGGTGTGAGCACATGTCAAAAACAAAGAAATGGGACTTACGTGTTGATGGCCTGATGGATCCACCATGGATGCGAGGAACTTGGGTGCTGGGCGGTGGCTGAGTAGAGTCAGTTGAACTCTCGATCTCGATTACCGGTGATTGATATCGGCCTCGTTTCCCTTTTGGTTGGTCTGCACAGAGGGGAAAATTCAGAGGTCAGCTGTGATTAGAACAGGGTTCTGGTCATCGTACCAGGGTGCTGACTGCGTCCCTGCTTCCGCATCATGGATTCAAATATTGTCCGTTTGTCTTCGGAGTCTTCACTTGAGGCTGCTGGAGGGATGGAGTCGCTACTCTCTCGAAGCTTTGCTGGCTGGAATTCACTACTCTCCTGATGCTGTCTTAGACCCCAAGACGCATATTCCTCTTCCGGGACATGACCGCACAATGCTGTGTTGATATATTAGTAGTTTAACAGGTGGAAGGCATAACTCATACCTATAATTATGCTCGAATCTGTGCCACATTTAAACCGTCCTCGATAGTAGAATAGATCCTGGCCAGTCGGAAGGTCCTCGGTCACTGCGAGTCCGAATCGTTGTTTCTCCTTGAAGGCGAGTTTCCAACAACAGCTCGCCTTACTTTTACCCTTCTTGTGCATAAGTGCATACTCCATCGGACGCGGGAAAACGTGTTCTCTGAGGTACTTGTCGACATCGTCGTGAGTCCAGTCCCGCCGGAATGCGAATTTGGCCGCATTGGCACCAGTGTGCACACACTGCCGATGTTCTGCTGTGTACATTTCTGTTCTCGACAGTGGTTTTGTCTGGATCAATTCACCTGCCTGTATATCTGTGATTAATACTTGTTAGGAGCTAGTTCAATAGCACATACCTCATCCAATGCATTGATCAGTAGTAGCCACGTTCCAACTAAAACATCCTGCTGGGACCCATCATGGTTACCAGATGGGACCCGCTTCCCAGTAGAGTTAGGTTTCTGTGATCATCAATATTGGAGTATGGACACTGGCTTAGGAAGTGGTCCAACGCACCTTAATTTTAGTTGATGTAACTCGTTGTGTCCCACTGCTACCAGCACGGAATCCTTTCAGGACCTCTTCACGCACATGCTGGAGGGAGTTAGGCAACTCCATAGTGCGAGATGTCTTCCGTTGATGGAACACATCCAAAAGCCGGTTGCCGGTTGCAGGCTCTACCTTTACATCCATAGTCAATTTCGGGGATTTGTTGCTAAATTGTGCTTCCGGGTGATTACTGAAACCATGCGTGCACTCACGACAGTGATAACGTGCATTCTTGTTGGCAGGTGCGGTAAACATCCTGCAACTGCATTGTTTTCCGTTCTCATCGAAATAGCAGCAGAGCCGCTCGTCGACATCTGGCATGGAGGGATTGGACCAACTACCGGCAACGAGAGAAGGAGTGAGTGAAGACTGAAGCTCGAGGCAGGACTCTGAGTTCTGATGTGTCTGTCTAATGTTGACTAAGCCGGTAGTGTTGTGCTTGTGCTCAACTCGACAACCACTGAATTGACCATGACCATATGTACAGTAAATACATTGCATGTATGACTAGGGGGGGATCAAAAATAACCATCTGCATCGAAGAGAGTTAGAACGGCGAGTGCCTGACACCAGGTTTTTGCCCGTCTTGCCCATATGGGCTCTGCTAATGATACTGTAACAAACCGTGTTCCCTGCCGACCAATTGCGATGTGCTCCTCTGTTGATTCATCACCTTCTGACCCATGATCATCTCCATACCCTGCTGGTGTGATATCTTCAATGACAACGCGGTCAAGCACTGACCAAAATTCTGCCTCGTCTTTGACACATGCGAAAGGTGATCCTTTGCCAGGAACTTCCACTGCTTCATGGCGCACTTGCTCCTGGAGGTCAGCTCCAACCCTTCTCAGAATACCATTATGTTCGTTTGTGGCAATTTCTTCGTCATCGGCCTCTGGCTCCTCGTCGGGGCAATGGCCCGCACCCGTTTGGCCATTCCGCCGAACCCGTACATGGCCGTGAACGCCATAATATCGCTCAATAGTGAGGGGATGGATCCCCTCATATTCGTCGTAGTATTCTCCTAGCGTGACATTACTGATAAGCCGTAAATCCTGTGGATATGTCAGTAAAATTGAGTGCGGCCCATCCTTAAAATGATATGCTTCACACACCTGTGGACTTTTATTATTGGTCGTTGGCCCGCTAATTGGATGAAGGTTCCATTCGCACTGGAAGTCCTCACAATCATCATTAATTTCCCGAAGAAAGAGCCTTTGAATGAGCCACAGGTGACTGCTGTCACCAGGATTAAGGCAGTGAAGTCTTTCACACCGAGAAAAAAATCCCCGCCAGCGGCGTACAAATTGAGTTCCAACTTCGACCCACACGCGTTCAATCCTCGAGTTTCGGGTAGACCTGTAGTACATGACATCAAAAAGACAGCCATTGGCGCGTAGTTGTGACTTACGATCCCCACATAAATGATCCACGGTTGGGACCTCGGACAGCTACCATGTATGTAGCCACGTCGATATTTTCACCACCACGATCACCTCTCATACGTGATGGCATTCCATACTCTGCCTGTGCATTGAGGAATACATTGAAAACGGTTGATGCGAGGTTGTCTGTACTGGCACATAAACCAGTAATCTGTTGAAAGCGTAAGGTCAATCAAACATGTCAGTAAGCGCTGCGACACACCGTTCGACAGTAACCATCAATAATTCCATGGACCACAAATCCCCATCGGATGAGTTTGTGGTGTCCGTCAATGTGCCAGAGCGCATTTGACCTCTTGACACGATACACCCTGCGTTTTATAACACGATGTTCACGTAACCGCTGACCTAGTCTATCAACGCGAGACAATGACTGCCATATTCGTTTTTGTTGGACTCGAATCCCATGATGGCGTAAGTGTCCGAGTAAATAGCGGAATCCAGACTCTGGTTTGTGTTTCTTGAACGCCCTCACAACTACATCCAAGTCATCGTTGCTCAATACGGTGTAGCTCCGCTTCAGGCCATGTTTCCGCATAGTTCGCCAGAGTGTCATGCGGCTAATGCCTAGGATGCGAGCAAGTTCACTGAGACTGATGTGACGGCTATTATCGGTGACAACCTCAGTAAGGAAGTCAGGGCATACAGACTTCTGAGGCCGTCCGCGCCGACCATTCTTGGACTCCGTTACAAGCTCAGGTATACTAACCTCTCGCCATTCACTTGAAAAGAAGTCAAGCGCCATTCACCGACAGAAAATCGGACATACAACATATTAACAACCTGTGCCACGTCCCGAAGATCTTGCACTGCCTGCCCAATGAGCCTTGCGACACCCACCAACCACTCCTGAGGCAGAGATTCGTCCTCATGACTAGCACCACTAGGGATAAGTGCTTCGAGGATGGGAAGTGCAGTTGAAGTGAGTGCGTCTATGTGGAATGAAACCCGAGTGGGATCCGGAAAACTATCAGATCGCAGGACATAAAGAGCTTGATCGTACACTTTCTTGATGGTTCCATGAGCGGTCTGGATATTAGCTGGCCATCTACCAAGGCTGGGCTGTGGAAGGGGCAGGAACGCTAGCTGGGCGATGGAGCTCATGTCCACGGCATCGACATTGCTGGTGTGTCGCCACTGTCTCAGTAGTGCGACACCATTTCCCACGGTCACGGGCCCACAGGTGCGGACTTACCTTGCACTAGAATCAGCTCCACTGCCCTCGTCGTCGTGAATCCATGCAAGACTACCAACGATGCAAGTGCCAAGGAGCCCGAGGAAGACGGATATACCGCAACACGACTTGCTATGTACCAACTACCAGTGCGAGTGCGGGCACCTGCGGTCGACATTGGATTCCCATATCATATTTTCGTCGAAACCACCACCGACACAGCCCATCGCATGACAAGACGAATACTACAGCCATGAACATGTTTCAATTTGATGCCTCTTCGTACTCATTTTATCACCTGCTTTTTCGCTTGCCCGGAGTTGCCCCCATCCTCGTCCGGCTTGAAGACCAAGATACAGAAATTCACTGCTCTTGCCCTTCACCGCACCAAGCTCCATCCATTGGTCCACTCGCCACCAGAACTGTCTTCACATTTAAGCGCTTGATCGGCCGCAAGTTCAAGGACGTGGAGGTCCAGGAGGACATGAAGCACTGGTTAGTACATGCGACAATTGTTAAATAGGAAAGCATCTTATATCATCTGCAGGGTGTTCAAGATGCTCGACCAGCTGTCGAGGTTGACATCGGTGGCGAGAGACAACAATTCGTATGCCTTTTCACCCCTCTGGATCAGTAAGAGAACTAATATACTTTCTAGAGTGCTGAGGAGTTATCATCCATGGTACTTACCAAGATGCGTGAGACCGCCAGGCAGTATCTCAACAAGAAAGTCAAGTAAGTTGCGCGTATACTAGTTAGGAGTCCCCCAGTGTTGACTACTATTATTAGTCATGCGGTCATTACGGTCCCCGCATACTTTAACGATGCGCAACGGCAGGCCACCAAGGACGCTGGTCAAATCACTGGCCTTGAGGTTCTTCGAGTCATCAACGAGCCGGCGGCCGCGGCACTGGCATATGGCCTTGATCGTACCGAATCATCAGTGATTGCCATGTACGATCTTGGCGGTGGTACTTTTGATATCTCCATCCTGGAGATGCACAAAGGAGTCTTCAAGGTCAAGTCCACCAATGGAGACACCCACTTTGGTGGCGAGGACTTTGACATCGCTCTTGTTACCCACATCCTCAACGAATTCAAGAAAGAGTCGAGCATTGACCTCAATCAAGACTGCATGGCCATTCAGCGCATTCGTGAGGCTGCCGAAAAGGCCAAGATTGAATTATCATCCACGACGCAGACCGAAATTAACTTGCCATTCATCACCACGGACGCAACCGGTCCAAAGTACATCAACTTGAAGTTGAACCGCACTCAATTTGAGACCCTTACCGGCCCTCTGATCCAACGTACCGTTGATCCCTGCAAGAAAGCGTTGTCCGATGCTGGAGTCAAGTCTAGTGAGGTGAACGAAGTCTTCCTCGTTGGTGGTATGACCCGCATGCCTAAGGTCGGTGAGTCCGTGAAGTCGATCTTCAGTCGTGAGCCGAGTAAAGGTGTCGATCCTGATGAAGCCGTTGCCATTAGTGCTGCTATCCAGGGTGGTGTTCTCGCCGGAAATGTCACCGACATTCTACTTCTCGACATCACCCCACTCTCCCTCGGCATTGAGACTTTCGATGGTATCATGACAAAACTCATCAACCGCAGTACGACCATCCCAACGAAGAAGTCGCAAGTTTTCTCTACCGCTGCCGATGGCCAGACCGCCATTGAGGACAAGATTTTCCAGGGTGAACGTGAACTCGTCAGGGACAACAAACTCCTTGACAACTTCAATCTCGTCGGTATTCCGGCCCCGAAGGGCGTCTCTCAAATTGAGATCACTTTCGACATCGATGCTGGTATGTCTTTTATACAGGTCTTCAGATAATTTCCTCATCCCTTGTAGATGATATCGTCCACGTCACCGCCAAGGATAAGGCAACCAACAAGGATCAGTCTATGACGATCGCGTCTTTGTCAGGTCTGAGCGACAAGGACATTGAGTGCATGATCTCTGACGCTGAGAAGTATGCCGATGTGGATAAGGCCCGTTGGGAACTCATCGAGGAAGCAAACAAGGGCGAGTCAGTCTGTGTCGACACAGAGAAGGGTACGTATTTACTACATGGTGCTTCACTTTCCCGCATTGATTCGCACCTGTGATAGCAATGAACGAGTTCAAGGAGCAGCTTGATGCTGCCGAGAGGGAGAAGGTGTCGAAACTCGCTGGCGAACTTAGTGAATTGGCCTCGAAAGGCCTCCCGGCGATGCTTCTGTCACTGCCGAGCAAATCGAGGAGAAGATCGGCGAGACTCAACAAGTTTCGCTAGGCCTTTTCCAGAAGGTGTACGAGAAGCGCGGCGCAGAGAATGCGTCCTCCACGCAGTTAACGCAAGGCTCTGAGGACACGCCCCCCACGCTCTTCCTTGTCCTACTTATACTTCCGTCTGCCACAGGTCTACTCGAGGTAGTCAGATCTCTGAGCTGTAGTATGGGTATCTTCATATTATGATAAAACGTCTTATTGATCCACTCGAAAAAAAAAATGGAGGGGTGACTGCAAAAATTGCGGGTCACTGTTTTTAAGTTGCGCAGTGCTGCAAAAGTCGCGCAATCGGCTATTTTATTTTTGTTTGTTTAATGTTACAGATGCAGCGTCATAAGCATGCAGATTGCATCAAAACTGACAATCAAATGTTGTGGTTTATTCAAGGTTTTACACTGGTGTGATTGAATGTAGGTATTGGTGCTGGGTACGAAAATAGATTAGCAGTCTCCGTACCTAGGCTAGAACCTTGCACCCTGACGTTCTGACAGCACAAACCAAACCTAACCCTCAAAGCTGAAGTAGACGACACCACCTGCAGGAGTGGGTACTACATGTTACTTAGTATCTTTATCTCAAGAAATATACGAGGTGGCGGGTAGCACGGGTC